TAAACTTGTGCATCCGACAACAACAAAGGCATGCACACTGAGAGCACGAAACCGAAACGAAACAGCAGCAAGCAAGCAGACCGCAAAGCAGATGACGCGAGAACCGTTTCTGTTGCTTGTGCACATACGACAAACCGAAAAAACCGTGGTTCAAAGCCAATTTATCCAACGAAAATGTTATGTTTTTTGTGATAAAATTTAACAAGTTTATGTTTCTATCACGTCGGGGTCACCAAATGTTGAGCTACTGAGCTTCTTCAGTAGCGTTGTATTGCGATATTATTAAAAAGGCGATGATTGTTCAGTTAATGTATTCACAGTTTATTGTACTTAAGTTAATATATATGTTTTATCCAAAACTAGCGAAAGGTGTGCGGATTTGATAACGAGAGTTAACGATGGGTCGATTGAAGACGCGGGGGCCGGTTCAAGACTGTTGAAGTTGTTAGATTTATGTAAGGTTTAGTTTAGAACTCTGTGGCAGGCAGGTCACTGTGCCAGACAGCTAAACGTTTAACGACGGTGATGATCGAATCTGAAGTGTCTTCTGCTTTCTCTGACGAGCCTCCCCCACAGCGGCTGTCGAACGCCGACAGAGAGCAAAGCACCAGACAGAGCATAAGCAAAGCAAACAAAACAGTAATAAAGAGAGACGTTACTTTTAAGAGATGTTACATATGGTCTCTTTGCTCATTGTGCTGCCATGGGCCGGCGCTTAGCCGAACAATGTCTTTAGATGGATTTTACGAGTAGCTACTGATTGGAGAAGTGATTTGTTTTCTGGCTGAAATGTTTGCAGACAGAAATGGAGGAATGTAAAGATACTGGGATGTTTTCTTTTAAAGCAATTAGAAAGAAAATATTCTTCGGGTATGACACTAAGGGAAAAATGCTTTGTCCTTTGCCCTTTGGCTAATTTTCTTTCAACTTAACTCTAATCAAGCAGCAGCAGCTGCTCCTACTACGCCCCCCAATATTTCTTGTCCCTTTTCCAACCCTCTTTGAACCCTAATCCCTCCAGCAGTTAGTCACAATTTGCCCAAGATCTTTGATTATTGAGAGACAAGCAGGAGCAAAGCATTTCTGTCCTTTGCCGGCACTCATTCCCCTTTCAGCAGGATACTTTGCTTAATGGACTCTGCTGCAGACTTCCCGGCAGCAGCAGCAGCTATTTAAGCCCTACGCTCACCTTGTGACCGCCCCGCCCGCACCTAGAAATGGGCCATAGATTGCAGTTTTATGTCACAACATTCAAACAAATCGTTGGCCATTTAAAACGGTTTAAAAGCCATTGCTGCAGCCCGTAACAGCCACACGTTGGCCTCACTCTCTGTTGCGCCCAGCCCCACCTCCCAAAGACAACAGCCAGGGGGCTGTCTCGGCTGTGGGGCAGAGGAAACTCTGTTCCGTTCCCCGGGAATGACAATAAATGAGCGCCCATTTGCGTACGGGCTTGGCCCCATCGCAATGTTAGAGAGGGAGGGGGGAAACGGAAAGGCAGATGGCGGCTGACGGGCGGTGGGAGCTGGGGAAATTGTTTTGGCTGTCGAATTACGTAAACATTGTCATAAATGAAAAATTTAGCCGTCGTCGAGGCGCAGTCGAGTCAAGCATTTCATTTGCTCTGGCAAATTTGTCAATCTCTGGTAACGTTTTTGCTCTGGCTCCTGTCTCGTCTTTGGCTCTGGATCCAACGATCCTCAGACGCCGCCGGGCCTCATGTGAGGCTGATTCTGTTGCCACAGTGGTTTTCCGCAGCTAACTTTTGTTTTGTTTTCATCGCTGTAGACCAACGAAAACTGTTTACTCTTCATGAGAGAGAACTTTTGGTTAGCAAATAATTAATGCAGATTCCACAGCTGACACAGATTCTACAGTTTGCTGAAGGCACTATATTTGATCGAAACAGAAGTCTTTCCTAAATAAACTCTTTTGTTTCTTGTAACGAAAAGATAGCCCTTGAAGGGTATTCAAAGATCAGGCTCACGCCTGTGCATACTCTTCATTCTGTTGTCTGGTTTTAGGCCCTCTCGCTGTGCCGCCGCGTCGGTCCCGTGATGGAAGATGTCTGCGTCTGGCCTGCGTCGTCCTCTGCAGCAGGCGCGACATATTAATTATTCATTTCGATTTTGGTTTGCTGGCAGCGGGATACAAAGAGAACTCCGGAAAAAAAACACACACAAAAACTTGGATGAGAACTGTGTGGCAAGGACTCGGGAGCTGCCTTGTGATTTATAAACACGCGCGTCGCTTTGGGTGATTTACTGCAAATTGCTTTATAATGTTATATACATTTTGCTCCCGATGTGGCTCGTTGTGGCTGTTTTGATTGTGTGGCGTTTGCCGTTGCCTGTCTGCCAGTAATTACAAGCGCAGGAAAGACTCAACTCACAGAAAAATGAATCATAATTTAGGGGCATTCCTAATCCAATGGATTAAGTCTAAGGCCATGGCCTAGGCATTCCATTCCATTCCATCCCATTACCTTGTTAACTGTTAAGAAATCAAAATGCTTACTTCCTTTCTGCCTTACTTTGCCACCTATGTATAATTATACTCGTAGAACTCTTGTAGCTCGTGGCTCGGACCCTTCACTACACGAATCGTTTTGAATAATTAATGACAATGATGTTCCTATGAAATCAATCATGGCTGAATATGCTGTTTTTGTGCTATTTATACATCAGAAATATAAGAAAATATAACAAATGGAAAAAAATAACAAACAGTTTGATGGGAAATTTCCACTAACTATATTTTGCAGCTCATTTTAAAGTACAGCTTACATCTTCATTTGTGTACTATTGAGAAATATCTTCATTTAGTTTGAAGTGCATGTAGTTTCTGCATTTATTTGTCTAGTTGGCAACTTAGAGTTCTGAACTAGAAACGTTTCAGTTTGCTTGGGACTTACATGTTTCTGAAGCAAATCCTCGTTGTAACCGATATTTTCATTGATTCAATGCCTCTCTTGAGTCCCCCTTTTGTTTTATTCATGAAATACTAAAATTTATCAGTAGTTATCGTTAAAGATTTTCTCTAACGAACGAACCCTCTGCCTATTACTAATACGAGTATTCAAGATACATTCATTTTCATTTGCATTGGCATAGGATACTCTGAGTTATACACAAACATTTTTAATGATTATGATGAAGAAGAGGAAGCCAGGGACAGAGTAAGGAGTAGGGGGTAAGGAGACTTGAGGCTGCGACTGGGGTAAGGAGACTAAGGACTGGTGGATGGAGAGGGTCTGGAGGCTGGTTAGCAGCAATGGCGGAAGGAACCAGCAGCACTTTCACTGCAACACGAGAGACACGTAAAAGTAAAAGCAAATCTTTGTTTGATACCATTTACATTTAAATGCGCATCTGTGAGTGTATATGTATTACCATGTATTCCTATGTGAATGTGTGCGTGTGTATGTGTGCTGTATTTATGTAAATTCTGGCAGCTCTGTCTCTCTCTTCGGCTTTTTTCGGCAAATGTTTGGGCAAGGCTTTCCTTTTTGGTACATTTTTTTATTGTATAAATTCTTCTCGTAGCTGAAAATTAGAAATGTTCCACACTGCGTTCAACTCCACTGACAGTGCGTGGCAAATTGCTTTCCAAAGTCTGAAGTCTGCCACAGAAAGTGTGGCAGAAGGAGATATGTGGGGCGGGGTGTTATACGTTGTTGTAACCAATAGCTAACAATAATAGCAAAAAATGGTTGTCTGGCTGAGGCTGACTGCTGCTGCTGCCTGTTCGCTTCCGTTTCCGTTACAGTACATACCCCCCGTCTCCCTCCTTGGCCCCTTTTGCTTTTCAGTTGTACTCGTAATTTGCATGAGCATGAGAAATATCCATGCATTAGAATTATGAATCCCATCATTGGAATAATGGCAACGAATGCCGGAACAATTTTTATCGAAATTTCCTTTTGGCTGCACGTGTGCACACATGGCGTATGCGCAATATATAATCGTATAAGTGCCGCTTGCTGCCATTAAATGCCCATGATATCGATCATCATAGTGCGTTTTCACATTCAATATGAAGTTCTGTGTGTCGGGCAGAGTCTGCACTTAGCCTCGTAGCAGACAGGCAATTAACTTAATTACTGCTTAAACTTTTCAGCCCCCCGTTGCCAGTCGCTTAGATGGTAGACGGCAGACGGCAGAGGGCAGTCACCAGGCGGCAGTCGGCAGAAAGCTAAAAAAGAATTATATTTTTAGCAAATGAAATTACCAGAGTTTCGGCCAGAGATTGAGCACATGGCGGAGTAGAAATTTGAAGGCAAATGAAAAATTGCAAACCAAAAACTGACCCTTGGGCGAAACGATGAACAGTGGCAGAAGGGAGTGTGTAATGCATAAAGAATTATCATAGGTCATAGATAAAAAAATGCCTAAGGCCTGAAATAGTCAATCTATGGCTTCGCGACTATAAAATCCTATATATATTCAGTATTTGACACTAGAATTTTGATTTGCTTTTGTTTTTTTTTTTTGTATTTTTTGCATTGGTTTTTACTTAAAAATACATATCCTCCCATCTATTTATTTTGTGAATCAAATTTATTTACCCACATAAATATGGAGCCACAAAAGCAGTTTCGGTGTTTGCATTTGATTGTTGCTTCAGTTTCAGGCATTCAAGGATGTCTCTGGCCATTGTTCGTGCCGTTTGGGTTCCACTGTACTGGCCATCATTATGCAGGCGGCATGGCTCCATTATCGTTTTGTTCATTTCCGTTGTCGTTTTTCGGATTTTGTTTCACAAAACGGCTGCTGAAGGAGACAGCCAATGAGTGCATTTGACTTTGAGGAAGCAGTTCGCTTGTCTTGCAGCAGCCCATAAAAAGCCCCCCGCCCCGTGCCACCATGCCATCGACCATGCCATCGACCATGCCATCATCATGCCCCCATCCCTCACTTAGCCAGATTTGTCAGTTGCCATAACTTTCGCGTCAGTCCACCAACAGAATTCATTTTCTGCTTCTTTTCTGCTCTTTACAGGCCACAATTCGTGTAGAAGAGGACGAGGACGACGAGCCTGGCCGTAAAACAGAGGCGGTAAATAGAAAAAGCAAAACGACAAACGGCAAGCAGCCATCCAGCCTTTGTCTGCGCTGTCTGGGGCCCTGGCAATTGGCCAAGTTAATAGAGAAAGCCAGAGCCACCGCCGGGAGGCCCGATAATGACGTTGCTGCAGCTGCAGCCGCTGCTTCTGCCTCCAACCCCATGATGATGATTCTGCTAACTTGGTTATTGCTGCCGGCATAGACACAAAAACACAGACGCAGAAACAGAAATAGACGCAGACACAGACACAGCGAGCGACAACAAGAACAAAAAGATAAAGCTGCCACACCCACTTACCAGCCCTCGTCCAGGACCAGGCCATCGTCCAGGCTTACTGCATTTCCGCTTCTTGTTCCTGTCGCCGCCATCATCCAGGCATCGTGGCCATCGCCATGCCACTCCACATGGCGCACAGCATCTGCGTGGCCTGGCTGCTGCTCCTCGTCGTGATTGTGATGAGCGGTAAGTAGCCCCTAGGGGCAAAACTCTGATGCGAGGGAGTAGGGAGGCTCTTCGGCTTCCCCCAAGTTAAGTTTCGCTTTATATTGTTGCCACAGTTAATTGTTGGGCATTTGTTTGTGCCTGCTTTTCCATGCCACATTATTGTCCGAGCCCGTTTGCATTCCCGTTTGCATTTGTTTGGACTGCATTTTGTTTCAATTAACAATTAGTTTTGTGCAAAACTCTTCTCTGCATAAAAGTTATGGCCCGAAACAATATTGCGGTCGAAAAGCCTTGGCCGAAATAAAAACTTTATTCTCTTCGAAACGCTGCCCTCGAAACGCATCCATCACAATACACACAATAGTGTGTGCTAAATGAATGAACAAATGTGAGTCTGTGTGTGTTTGTGTGTGCGTGGCCAGGGGAAAAACTCAATAAACTGTTGAAAGTTGAAGACTTTTGGCAGGAAACTTAAATCCGCTTTCCTTTCAAATACTTTTACGCTGCCTGAGCAGCCACTGCATTGGGGAATAGTTTGCCTTGTTGTGTATGTTGGGTTTTTCGTTTCTTTATGTGAGGGAAAATCATGTTTCATCTAAAAGCAATTTTATATTGAGCCGTTGCTCGAAGGGAAGCCACTTCTGGAAAAACACTCAACAAGTTGTCCGACCAGCACACCCATCAAAATGGTTTATCATCCCTCAGGAGGCAGCTCGGAAATCTTTCAACATTTGGGCAGCAGCATCAAATGCAGGCCTGGACTCGTGCCGAATTGGCCTTTGAGCGAAAATTCGCTTTGACTTGCGGCCAATGACAAAATTCTCGCATATTTTATATAAATATTTGGTTAGCAGGCGTTGGGCTAAATCAAGTGGAAAATATAAAAAATTAAGTATACGTCACGTGCGCCAGCAGAGCAGATTAACACAATTTAATTTGCAGGAATGAAGGCCATTGCCAAAACAAAAAACTGATTTAATTAACAATTGTCAAAGGGACAGGGACAGGGAGTGAGAGCCCTTAATGCATTTGATTTATTTTTAAAGCGTCGAGAATTTATTGCAGCAATGGCAACAAATAACTGTCGTGGAAAGGGCTGGGCAGAGGGTCGATAGCACAATTCAAAAAATGCTCGAATTAATTGCATTTTCGGTGCAGCAAATACATACCGAATCCAATAAAACATGAGGAAAAACAAAAACAGGCTAAAAAAAAAAACAAACGCAAAAAAGGCAGCAAAAAAAAAGAGGGGGCAAGGCAGGGACAGGCAGGAAGAGGATCGACAGCAAGGACATATTTCAAAATTCAATTAAAATAAAACAAAAAGGCGGCAACTCGTGACAGCAACAACGACGACAGCAACGATAGCGACACTATGCAATTTCCGCTTAGGGCGTGCCACTGCCAGCCAGGTGGGCGTAAAAATAATTAAACCTCGCCCAAATAAACATTGACGACAATACCAAAGCGATGGCGCCCCCGCGGCTCTCCAGACTCTACGCTCCACACCTGCCACAGCACACAGAAATCAACCCAAACTAGAGATGAAAACTTTGGTTTCGCGGTACAGACAATATATATACCCTTACACATTGATTGTTCTGGTAGGTAGATAGAGCATTCGGGGTGCCGTAAACAGGGTTTAGGGCTTGTAGGATTGAGGAAAACAAGGGAGCAATTTTAATTCCTGAATGCTGCATAAAAGATATAGCGTTGAAAATGATACACGACTTTTATAGGGAAGTGTATAGGTGTATAGACCCCAAGAGCAAACAGCCAAATGGTGGCAATTTTTTAGTGATTTTGTCGCTTGACATTTGGAGCTGGCTGACTTCTGCATCCGACATGCACAACAATTTCAATTAAACTACGGCAATATGTCGATGGAATATAAGTTGACCAAACGACGGATCGAATTTTAAACGTCTTGGCCAAGGCCGTAGGTGAAGCGGATTCAGATGAAAGATTCTGCTGGAAATGAAATGAGTCTCGCTGCATGTTAGTTATTTTTAGCCAGGGTTTAGCCTCTGAGCAGCACCAAAATAAACATCAAGACAAAAGGCTGCGGCAAGAGGGATTAGCATCGCTTTCGCTTAGAATCAAACTAATCGGTTCACGCTCGATCAATCCAGCCGCCAATCAATCAATCAATCAGTTTGCCGGCCTGCTGCTGTTTCTGCTGTTGCTGCTGTGCCCCGGCAATTCTTTTTAAGTGCATTTGCGTGTTTTGTGGCAGCGAATGGCACCTGCGAGTGGGGCATGGCCACGACTCTCTATTTTCTATGCTCGTATACGTAAAAATATCGCCGAAATTTGTGTGTGTGTGAGTGTGTGTGTGGAGCCTCTCTTTTTTTCGTTTGTTGGCCACTAATCAATTATTTCCCTTTGCGCACATTCAATGTTTTGCCAATTTAAATATTGATTATGATTGATTTAGTGGAAAAGGCCGCAATATTTATTTAGCTTTGACCCATGGGTTCATTTGGGTCCATTGGGGCCCTGCACTTCAAATCAGTCGCAATTCCGATTCTAATTTCCAATTTCGATGCGTTGTAAATTATACAAAAAAATTTCGAATTTACGATCCCAGTCGTCGGTGGGGGTGGTGTGGTGCAAGTGCAACACTTCATAAAAGTAATTGCCTGCCACGTTTTAATATGAATATTTTCTACACTGGGTCTGTGCATAGAAATTGCATGTACGCTCGTGAATAATATTTGAGGAAAACTTTTGGTCTGTGTTTGCGTTCGCCTTTGCGTTTGGGGCAAAAAAAAAAAGAAATCAAATAAATAAATGCATTGGTCCGAAAGAGCGCAGGCAGAGTGCCAGCGTAAGGGAAGGGAAGAGAGAACGAGAAGGAATGATGGCGTTTGGCCACTGGTCAAATATTTGCAACAAACTTTGCGTTCTGGCCCAAGTCATTGAACGGCTGGCAGGGCCAACAACTCAAACAGAACATGAAAACAAACACAGAGGAAACACAGAGCAGCAGCCGAAGCATCAGGCAGGTGGAGGTAGTTGGTGGGGTGATCTAACAGAGAACTCTCTTCCAGAAACTTGGCAACGTGCACCTGGCCATAAAAACTGGCAGAAGGAGGAGACCCACGTAGGTAATTGAGTATGAATGGGGAATGTGTCGAAAGCGTTTTGTGATATTTGCCAAACAAAATGGCCCACGGCTCCTGCAGACAAGGCTCTCCTGCAGCCCAAGGCAAAATAGCTGGAAAATGAATTCGATACATTATCCTGACGTCAAGTCGTGCGTGGTCCCCGTTCTCGTTCTCGGATCCTGTTCCCAGGCCCAACGTCGGAACTTGGAGCGACTGGCGAAAAGTATAAATTACATCCAATGCCGGGGCCTGCTATCGACGGGCATCAGGGCCATTTCTTATGCGAAACACCTGCAGCTCACAAGGAGCCCAGAACCAGTCCAGGGTCTACGACCAGTCGTCAGAATATACACACAGAGGCTCACTCACTCCGCCTGGCAAGGCATGGCATGGCCTGGCCTGGCATGGCATGGCATGGCATGGCAGAGCATGGCATAGCAAATGTGGCGCATAAATGAATTACCAATGAACCGCATGGTTCACGTTTTCAATTTGAAAGGCTGGGCGCTAATTTTTGGGGAGGAGTGGCTCCTCCTTCTAGAACAAAGGCTGAATAACCATTTGACAGATGTGCTGCACAGACGTTTGAGGGGCCAGAAGTACAGTAGAACCCAAGAAATTAGTTCCAAGAATAGCTATCATTTGTTCCATTATATATACATACTGCATTGCATTAAACCCAATCAAATCTTGTCTAAGTCTATTATTCAACTGATTCTCCAACGCATATATATATATAGATATATCCACTACTTAGGCAGGTTCTACTGTACAGAGTGGAAGTGGAAAAGCACAGGGAGCAAGAGAGAGAGAGAACATGAGAACAAATCGACAGCCTACATAAAAGCGCAATTTGCGCAATTTCAACGTCAAATTCCATTTGATTACAACACGTTGACGAGGACATACGCATGGGGCATCGCATCGCATCCTTCGTACGCAGCCATTTAGATCCATCTATGGCAAATAGAAGGCGACACTCCACTCCATATTCTGTACTCCAAGTAAAAGCAATTTCACTAAATCTGCAATTGTTATGTCGCCTGCTAAACAACTCACTTGGCTGCTGCCACAAGACCCGACCCACTCCCGACACTTCACTTGCCTCCTTCTGTGCTCCTTGTGTTCGTTCTCACGTTCTCACACGTCAAATATTTATATGTACATACATACATACACACATTGCAGTGCCATTTTCTTATTGCTCTTTCGTTTCTACGATTTGGGTATTGATTAAGCGGCTACTGGGGGTAGTAGGATTTGGATTAAAGGCAGCATTCCTGTCCCGGCTCAATTACTGCATCAGTTTATGGTCCACATATGAAAGAGAGAGAGAGAGAGAGAGAGAGTCCTGTATAGCTTTCCTGGTTTTTACAACCTTTTTATGTATCCCGTGTATATAGATTGTTAACGGAGAAGGAACTGCGACCGAAAGGAGGGCATAAATCATGCAAACGACTTGATGCCGTCTATTAGTCCCTGTTTATAGGTCTAGTTAAACTTTACGGTGAGCAGCAATTAAACATAACGGGCGTTGGGGTGGGTTCCTGCTGAACTCCCGACAAAAATAAAACTCAACCAAAGGACAACAAAAAGGTTGGCCCACATAAAAAAACAAAAGGACCCTCCTGGAAACAATGTGCTAGGGCCAGAAATAACATAAAAAACTAATCAATTCAATCAATAGAAGGAGCACTGATAGATAGATGGCTTTTTCCCCCAGTGTAAATTTGATGAGCAGTGATTACGCCACACACACACTGGGCGAATATTGTATATCTTTTGGGGCTAACCGTACGTGAGGGAACACACACACACTCAAAACAACAACGAAACTTTTGATGAGGGGGGAGAAAACTGAATGCCCGGAGATCCTTTGCTGCTGTCTGCTGGTGGATTCCCACGAGT